CGCCCCCCAGCCCTTCCGGGGACCCTGTGGCGGCAGGGAGTCCCGAGGGGTGCAAATCCCTCAGCGGGGCATCCACAACCCATTGGGCATCCTCTGCCCATGTCCTCCTTGCCCTCCATCCTCCCATGCCGTGGGGCTGGGGGCTGCTGTCCCCCATGCTGGTCCCCCTGTGCTGCCCCCTGCACCGTTGGGCCGCGCTCACCTCGTAGGCAGCCTCGCGCATGAACTGCTTGGCCGGCTGCTTCCAGATGGCGGGCACGGTGATGACCCAGCGCACGGCGCCGCTCTCCGGCAGCGCCGGGCACTGCTCCTGCAGCTCCTGCCGGGGCACGTGCGGCGCGGGCTCAGCGCGCGCTCGGGGCACCTGCGTGCGCTCTGCGCGGGCGCAACGCTGCCCTACCTGCACGGCGTGCTGCTTGAAGAAGCGCAGCGCGTGGGCGAACACCTCCAGCGCCCGCACCTTCCTCCCGTTCACAGCCTCCAGCTCCGTCTGCATGGTGAGGTCCTGCCGGGAAGAGCGAGAGAGGTGACGGATGCCGCAGGCACCCGTGCTGCTTGCAGCAGTGTGGTGTCCATGTTGCATCCACTGCAGCCTCCTGGGCTGCTCTGGAGCAGCTGGGACAGGAGGAAGGAATGGAGAAAAGGCCCCCTCCCCACTTTGCTTTGCAATCTGCAGGCCCTGCAGCTGCCGGACAGGATAATCCCCATGGCCCCAGCACACGCGGCCTCGCGGCTCACGCTGGTGCTGTGGATCTTCATCTTGAACTTCTCAAAGTAGAGCCAGTCGCGGGCCTCCTCGGGGTCCAGGTCGTGGTAGTAATCCCTGGCCGTGTAGCCGAAGCTGTGGAAGGTGCCCGCTGGTGTCAGCAGCAGGCTGGTGGGAGTCTTCTGGTTGGCCACCCCCGGGTCACCACCTTCCCATCTTCTGCAGAAAGGAGGAGGAAAGCGGCCCTGAGCCCCTGCAGCCACCAGCCCAGACGGCCAGAGGCCAAGGCCAACGGGAAGGGCTGAGTTTGTGGCACACCATCGCGGCAGCCCTGCCAGCTGTTGGCAACTCTATATAGAGCTTGGTTTAGGGGGTGATGGTTGGGGTTGGGGTTAGGGTAGGGGTTGGGGTTAGAGTGGGGATTAGGGTTATGGTGATGGCTGAGGTTAGGGTTGGGGTGATGGTTAGGATTGGGGTTGGGGTTAGGCTTGGGGTTGGGATGACAACTGTGGTTGGGGTTAGGGTTGTATTTAGGGTTGGGATGATGATTGGAATTGGGGTTGTAGTCAGGGTTGGGGTTAGGGTTGGGTTGGGGTTGAAGTTGTTATGATGGCTGGGGTTAGAGTTGGGGTTAGGGATGTGGTGATGGTTGATCTTAGGGTTGGGATGATGACTGGGGTTGGGGTTGTAGTCAGGATTGTATTTAGGGTTGGGGTTGAGGTTGGGGCGAGGGTTGGGGTTGCCAGCTGCCCTGGGCTACCTCATCATGTGGATGGCCTCGGGGTCGCTGCGGAAGCTGAAGGCGTAGCCGCTGGATGTGGTGCCGAAGTCGATGGCCACCACCACGGCGAAGGAGGCGGCCGGGGCGGCGTGTGCCTCGCTCCTCTGCAAGGCAAGAGGGCTGTTAGTGCCCTGCACCGCTTCGGAAATGGGGAGAAAACCTCACAAAATGGTCATTTTTTTCCCTGCTGCGGAGCACTGGGACCTGTCATTAAACACTCCGCGGAAGCACGGAGCCCGTGCTGGAGCCCTCTCTCCCCAAGATATTTCCTGTGGTTTTATGGTACCAGATCATTTCTCCTCTTACGAAGGCTCAGAAGAGGAGGAAAAAGGGAAACACCAAACTTTTTGGGTGTTCCTGGAGGGAGAGGCGCTGGGGCAGCGGGGGAGCTGCGTGCGCCCGTGCACACCGCGCTGCTGCTCCCCAGGCGCTCGGTGCAAATGCACTGCACTAAAAGCCCTCATTAACTTTTTAATATCTGCAGATATGATAAGTACATTAGCTGGTCTCGAAAACAAGACCGTTACGAGCACGGATGAGCTGCTTGTCTCGGGAATGCGCGTGTCCAGGCGCCACCAGGACATGCGGCACGGGTGCTTCGTGCTCATCCTCGCGGCAAAGCCAGCCCTGATGTGCTGCGATGCTTGGAATTAAACCAATTTGCTCGGTTGTTCTTGTGCTGTGGGGCTAATGGGGTGCTTGGGCTGTCTGGAAAACGTGCGATCCTGTAAAAGCCACTGCCAAGGCGTGCGTGTGGGTCCTGGTCATGTATAGGGACTCATGGGCTAATGCATGGGGACCGTGGGTCGGTGGCCGAGGCAAGATGTCACAGCAGCAAGGGGACCTGTGCGGGGCCTTACCGGGGACTGGGAGGGTGTCAGTGGGGCGATGCTGCAGCTGTGGCGCGTCCCTGGCGAGCCGGGCGGTGACGGCGTGGGGCACCGCTCCCCGCTGGCACCTGGGGACACAGCAGCGTCAGCGCACGGGGCCACCGAGGGGATTTGCCATCCTCTGCAGGTGGGGCTGCCCAAGTGAGGACTGGGATCCTTCTCCTGGAGAAGGGACATCCTGGAGAAGGGACGTCCTGGAGAAGGGACCTCCCGGAGAAGGGACCTCCTGGAGAAGGATCTCTTGGAGAGGGGACATCCTGGGGAAGGGAACTCCGGGGAAGGGACCTCCTGGGGAAGGGTCTCCTGGGGAAGGGTCTCCCAGAGAGGGGACGTCCCAGAAAAGGGGCCTCCTAGAGGTCGGGCCTCCTGGAGACCCTTCTCAAGGAGGTGCTGCTGGGCAAGGAGACCTGGCCGAGGTGTCACCTGTTGGCAGCTGTGGGCTCAGAGGCCTCTGCAGGGCCGTGTTGGTGGGAGCAGCACGGGCCAGCCCTTCCCACGCTTCCTCCTCCCGTGCATGAGGAAGGGGCTCCTGAGCACCCACAAAATGAGCAAACGAGGCACTGCGTGCAGGTGGGACCACAGACCACCGGGAGAGCGGCCGTGCATGGAGCGATGCCATGAGGGTCCGGGGACGGGGTGCTAGGGTCAGCGTGCAGCTGCCCCCGGGCACGATCCCTGCGGGTGCCGCGGAGCCTCCCGGTGCGGACGGGCTCACCGCCC